ACACTCACAGACACACACACACACACACACACACACCAGCACACACACACACACTCTCACACATCAGTACACACACACACACACACACTCACATCACTGACTGACCCATGTAGCTGAAAGATGGGAAATCAAACGTTCAACTAAGAGCACAAAATAAGCTTGACTTCATTATGAGCAATAATACTGATGTGAGTGTAATATCATCATAGAGAATCATACAACTACTTAAACGCACTTTTCTTACGAAGATGGGTTATGTCTGAATCACAACCCTTTTTGAGCACAAATTCAAAAATGTTGTCATTTCATCAGAAGAGGAAGCCTTGTTAAATTCTCAAAAAGAAAGTAGTTTGCCGTTTCCTTAAGAAATGCCCTAATATTGCTATTAGTGTCTGAAAAACATCTGTCTGTCAAATCAAAGTCATGTGACCTAAACAACAACATGTTGGTCAAGCAAACACCGTCCAGAAGCAAACAAACGGGTGATGACGTCACAGAGAGAGCGCGTTAGAGGGACCGTTCACCCAAAAACCATCCTTCTGTCAGCAGCTCAGACTCAGGCTCTTTGCAGACCCCTGTGACTTCTGTTCACCTGTCTAACCCGCCTGAAGATATCTAAAGGAATCTGAGAGGTGTCCGAAAGAAAGTCTGTGCAACTAAACCTGCAAAATGCTCAGAAAGGCGTCATTAAACGAATCTACCGGTTCAATCCTGTTGAGAGACTTTATATGATGAACAGATTTAATTTAGGTTTTTACTGACATTCAAACATCGATCAGCACACAAACACAACGCACATGAATTTTGACGTCTTTACGCACTTTTAGAAGTGTCAAAGTTCTGTTGTAATGGACTTTCAATAGAGAAACAGAAACCTGTCAGGTTTCATTAAAATATTTCCGTTGTTTTTATGGATTTGGAACCACATGAGGGTGAGCAACTGATGACAATGTTCATAATTATTATGCATTTATGAATACATCATTTGTGATGTTTGCTACACTAAGAATGATTTACTCATAAATTGATAATAACTGCGTGTAGGTCGTGTTTATTTGATGGTTACACCACACGAGTCATTCATTAAATGAAGAAAACAATATTACAGGTATTGTTTTCTGCAGCACGAACACAGAGGATGTGTCAGATGTGTGTAACCTGTGTTTTCCGTCTCTGCTGTCAGAGAGAGTGCGGTGTTTGTGTTATTAGTGATGTACGTGTCACTGCTGATGCTAACAGAGCCCCAGACACTTCAGCAGCCACACAACCAGCGCTCACACTCCACTAACGGCTGCACAGAACTATTAACACACACTAACGACGCTGTCATCACGGCGCTGAATGATTCGTGTTCATTAAACGCGCTTCAGCGTTACACAGCTGTGTCCGGCTACGAGCTCTCGTTAGCTTTAGCATGAGCGCCCGGCAGAGGCCAACACAGCGGACACCGCGGAGCAAACACACACCCACACTCACAGAAACATACCTCGAGCGTGTGTACAGATGCGTGCAGCTCTTTCCAACGCAGCTGGACGAGGGAATAGCAGAGTAGAGTCGAGAGAAGACACTCAGCTCACCGCGCACAGCCACGACACACAGCAATGGCGCCACTTCCGCTGTGTGTCACAGTCGAAACCGTCCGGCGCCGAAACAACCTGCGTGAACAGCAGCACACACTCACAGGCCGTGACTCACTCTTCGCTGCACTCACACTTTCTTTATAAGTTGTACATGTTTAGCAAGTAATTTTCGTGTGCACATTATTGTTCGAACCAACATTTTTTTTTCTCTCCTTGGAAACTTTAGCACGAACGTGATTATACAGAGCTAAACAACACACAAAAATGTAGTCATAACCAATCACATTAATTACAAAGTAAACAGGATTACATTTTGATATAATTCTCCGGTCCTGACCTCAATTGTAAATTTTTTAAATAAAGGAGTGTTTTAGTCCATTTAACACGCAGTTTGTGCTATTGTAGTAATATAATAATGAAATCTTAAACATTTGCATTTCTCCAGTTGAAGCGCATTTAACACTGCGTGTGTTTGTTTGGAAGTGCCTATAATATCAGCTTCTCTGGGGTGTAGTTGTTCCCAATCATTCTAAAACCTGAAACTAAACGTCCAAACGCACCTGTGCCCGGACTCGTGTTTCCAGTACGGCCGAAAGCGGCGCTCCACAGGAAATGCCACGTGTACCAACTGCGCATGCGCGGTCTCCGTGCTCCCGCTTGACTTCCGCTGAGAGGAAGGCTCTAGTTGATCACCGCGACATTAAGCAACGCGTCGAGAGAATGGCCGGAGCCGCGGGCCTGTGAGTGCGTCACGCCTGCTGCTGTGACCGGCACATCCCATAATATCACACATCCCATAATCCCAGTCTTCAGTGTCACAAAACCACGTTCATATTCGCGCGATTTTTTGCGCAGCTCGTCAGTGAACAACGGCTCTGTGTAGTTAATGCTGCTCAATGTGAAAGCACGCACGTGATGGAGATTTACCGCTGATTACAGAACCGGCTTTCTGACAAGATGCTCGTTAAATATCGCATGCGATTTATCGTGCAGCCCTAATATTCACATAGAAAACTGCTGTTTTACATTAAAATAATATTTCACTGTTTCTACTGTATTTTTGATCAAATAAATGCAGCCTTGATGAGCCAAAGAGACTTATTTCAGAAACATAAAAAAACTGTATTATTCCAAACTTCTGACTGGTAGTTCAATCATCAAACATATAAACATAAACATTGCACAAATGTAAAGGTTCATTTGAAAAACGCTTTCTTTAAAGTATTATTTTTCACAGATGATTTCACAGTTTAGTTAGTCAAAAACTAAACAAAAATGAACCGTTTTTGACCAGATTTGATCAGCTGCACACAGCCGCTTAGCTCTTCTGCCACAATGAAGTAATAATAATAATAATGTATAATTGCATTAGAGTGAAATAACATTCAAATCGACTGGGTTCTAAAATCATAACTGGAAAGCTGTGAGACGCTGTCATGACTGAAAATGACCAAAAGGAAATGAAATTAGAGTTAAAGGTGCAGTGTTTTCACACACACTCATTCAGCCTTCTCTAGTCTGGATATCAGCAGCAGCTGTTATAGATGTTGAATGTTTATCCACATCGCAGTATCATTCAGCTGATGAAACACTTGCAAAAACAAATGCTTTGGACAGAGACGTCTGTAAATGATGGGTTTGAGACATTCAGACGGCGTTTCTCGTGTGTTCATGCTTCTCCGACTGAAGCCCATGCAGTGAGTGGATCAGGATCAGTGTGCCTCTGCACACACACACACACACAGCCACACACACACTCACTCTCACACAGACACACACACACAGACACACTCACACACACAGACACGCACTCACACACACAGACACGCACTCACACACACAGACACGCACTCACACACACAGACACGCACTCACACACACAGACACGCACTCACACACACAGACACGCACTCACACACACAGACACGCACTCACACACACAGACACGCACTCACACACACAGACACGCACTCACACACACAGACACGCACTCACACACACAGACACGCACTCACACACACAGACACGCACTCACACACACAGACACGCACTCACACACACAGACACGCACTCACACACACAGACACGCACTCACACACACAGACACGCACTCACACACACAGACACGCACTCACACACACAGACACGCACTCACACACACAGACACGCACTCACACACACAGACACGCACTCACACACACAGACACGCACTCACACACACAGACACGCACTCACACACACAGACACGCACTCACACACACAGACACGCACTCACACACACAGACACGCACTCACACACACAGACACGCACTCACACACACAGACACGCACTCACACACACAGACACGCACTCACACACACAGACACGCACTCACACACACAGACACGCACTCACACACACAGACACGCACTCACACACACAGACACGCACTCACACACACAGACACGCACTCACACACACAGACACGCACTCACACACACAGACACGCACTCACACACACAGACACGCACTCACACACACAGACACGCACTCACACACACAGACACGCACTCACACACACAGACACGCACTCACACACACAGACACGCACTCACACACACAGACACGCACTCACACACACAGACACGCACTCACACACACAGACACGCACTCACACACACAGACACGCACTCACACACACAGACACGCACTCACACACACAGACACGCACTCACACACACAGACACGCACTCACACACACAGACACGCACTCACACACACAGACACGCACTCACACACACAGACACGCACTCACACACACAGACACGCACTCACACACACAGACACGCACTCACACACACAGACACGCACTCACACACACAGACACGCACTCACACACACAGACACGCACTCACACACACAGACACGCACTCACACACACAGACACGCACTCACACACACAGACACGCACTCACACACACAGACACGCACTCACACACACAGACACGCACTCACACACACAGACACGCACTCACACACACAGAGACTCACACAGACACACACACATGCACACTCACACACACACACACACACACTCACTCACTCTCACACAGACACACACGCTCACTCTCACACAGACACACACAGACACAGACACTCACACAAACACACACAGAATCACACACACACACAGATAGCAGCTCGTCAGCATTTATCTGGCTTCACAGCTCCACAAATGCTCTTCAGTAATAGTTTATTTACATAGGCAAACACATGCATGTTATTCATGAAGTAAATGCAACATCATTGAATGTTTGGCACAATATTTCATCTGGGTGGCACTGATTCTGCTCTCACTATTTAATGACCTCACATTAATTGAGCTGCGTTGAGTATTTCTGCTTTTAGAAGTTCATTTTCATTGCTATGAGCCGGTGAAGCAAAAGCTGGTTCAGCTGAATAAGAATCTGTGGAGAGTGAATAGCTTTATTACTGTATTGTGTTCTGTCTCACTCCTCTTCTGATGTGTGGCAGCTCCCCCTGCGCTGAGTGCCATGGGTCTCCATCAGACGCCTGCAGCTGTGACAGGGCCGCCGCTCGCCGCACACAGCGACGGTAAGAGAGCTCCCGCTTCCACAGACCTGTGCACTCACTCCGGATCAGAGGGATATTTCACCCAAAAATTAAAGCTCTGTCATCATCATCAAGCTTAAATGAAATCTTAAAAGTTTCTTCATGCACAGTGCAAAAACCGAATGATTTGATAACTGTTGCTGATCCTGCGCTGCTGTGCTCTCAGACTGTGATGTTGTTGTGAGCGCAGCGCTGATAACTGATGGAGCTTGTGTTTCTGCAGCAGCAGCAGTGTATCCCGCTCACCCCGCACAGATGCACAGGTACCCCTCACTACAGCCGGTCTATCAGAGTGTGTCCGGCGCGCAGACGGCCCCTCCTGCGCAGACGCAGACGCAGCTGTACACACAGGTTCCGTCTATGAAATCAGTTTTATTTTTTCCAAAATTCTATTTTTTTCTGTTTTCATTTTTCTGGACTCCTTTTTAATGGTTAAATCAAATTTTATAAAAAAAAAAAACATGTCTAATTAATTAAAATCATGAAACCTATACAATTTAACCTCAATATATTAAAGGTTTAACACACAAATTCAATTTTTAGGGCCTATGAAATATGTTTTATGTTTTTCTCACGTTCTGTTTTATTGTTATTAAATTCTGTGTTTAAGCACGTCTAATTATTTGAATGCATAAAAACAACTTAATTTATTCTTTTTTTTTTTTTTTTCAGAAATTCTGTGTTGTGTATTTGAATTTTTCTGGTTATCAAATGAAGGCATAAAACAGTTATTTATTTTATCTTTTAATCAAATGAAAACAAACTTTATTTTGGCAAACAAGGGGGTTTGCTATTAAAATTAAAATATGGGAGAAATATTGTGTTATTATTCCTTAAAAGGAATACGTTTTAATAATTTATTATTATTAGTAGTAGTAGTATTAAGTACATTCTACTTCACAAATTGCAACGCCTGTGATTTAATCAAACAGATTCTCTTTTTTATTTTTTTATTTTTATAGATTTATTTTCCAGAAACATCAGAATAAAAACGTAATTTTCTAGTGCAATATTTAAAAATAAATAAATAAATATATATATATGAAATTTATTTTTTCCAGATGTAATGTCATTAGTACAATAGATTTCCTATTTTGTTAAATATTTATAATAATTACAATAAAAGTCTAAAGCTCCCCCAACAAAATCACCCCAATTATTCTAGAATTATTATTTCTTTCCAAACAGAACTATTCAAGTCATTTGGTGAAAAGTCTATTATTTTTTCATATCACAATATATGAAACGTATATACAGAAAAAATTGCATTGTCAGGTTTTTCCCAATATCAGCCCTACAGTATGCAGCATTTAAAATCACATAACAAAGTTATGGACAAACTGTAATGTTGTAAAAGGAATACAAGTATGCATATGCTTCGATTCAGGAAATATAATACAGTGAACAGAGAAGCGGCTAATGAGATTTGGTTTGATCGTGAGGCTGACGATGTGCTGAAGGTTTAAACGAGTCCTCTTACTGACCGTTTGCTGAAACACAGGCTGTTTGTCCTCAATTGTCTGAAAGTGTGTGTGTGTGTGTGTGTGTGTGTGTGTGTGTGAGAAGCAGAATTAAGCCGCTGTTTGTCCTGTCCTCTCTCATGTCCAGCCGTCTGCCGGCGCGGCTCAGCTGAGCCCCTCGTTAGCGTCGTTAAGCCTGCAGTCTCAGCCTCCAGAGGCCCTGAGGGCCGTTAACCTGCTGCAGGAGCGCAGCCTTCTTCCTCCAGGAGCCGTGCCTCCGCCGGTGCCCTGTCTGCCGCAGGACCTGCAGAAGATAAACTGCAGCCCAGAGTCAGTGCCCTCACTCACACATGCTCACGCTGACGGTTCTGTGCGCTTCACTGACGGTGTTCTCGTCCTCAGGGTGTTCCGCTGTACTCTGACCAGCATCCCGCAGACTCAGTCCCTGCTGAACAAAGCTAAGCTTCCCCTCGGCCTCCTGCTGCACCCCTTTAAAGACCTCTCAGTGAGTCACGGATCCGTCTCACACACGCTCACACACACACGCTCACACACACACTCACACTCTCACACACACTCACTCACACACACTCTCTCACACACTCCCACACACACACACACACACACACACTCTCCCACACACACACACTCACTCACACACACACGCACTCACACTCTCCCGCACACACACACTCTCCCACACACACACACACACATACACACACTCTCCCACACACACACACACTCACACACACGCACACACATCTCACACACAGCACTCGGCACCGCTGAACACCCAGAAATTAAAGTTCATCATCATGTGCTTCTAAACCTTCATGACTGACTTTCTTCTGTGGAAGGAGAGAGATTCAGTGTGCTAATAATAATAAACAGGAACTCAAGCTTCCCGGCTTCAAAAAGCACGCAGAAGCACTGTAAAAATGTTTTTAGTTGCCAAATTGCAAGTGTTTCGCGGTTTTTTTTTTAATGTAATTTTTCAGTCATTTTACATTTCTTTATTTAAAACAATATTGAATACTGAGCCGCATCAAACAGTGTGTGTAAATGCATCTAATGCCGGTTCAGATGCAGCTCCTGTAGTTCACTTAAGATGCCCATAACTCTAGAGTTTAGATGTTTGGGTGACCTGTTCTTTAGCAATCAGGACAGGAGCGCTCATCTCAACACTGACCTCCTGTGCTGCGCTGACTGAAATGATCTCATCCGTTATTAATCACCTCTTCCTCTTCAGCAACTGCCTGTGGTGACCTCCAGTAATATCGTGCGCTGCCGCTCCTGTCGGACCTACATCAACCCGTTCGTGACCTTCCTGGACGCTAGAAGATGGAAGTGCAACTTGTGTCACCGAGTCAATGATGGTGAGCGCTAGTGTGATGATGAGTTATTAGGTATTTTGGTGTTTATGAGGTATAATATGTGTTTTGAATCGTGTGATCTCAGTTCCAGAGGAGTTCATGTATAATCCGGTCAGCGGATTGTATGGAGCGCCTCACAAAAGACCAGAGGTGCAGAACGCCACCATCGAGTTCATCGCCCCGTCAGAATACATGGTACGAGTTATTATAGTTTTTACTAAGATTTAGATTTTTTTTATCTTATATTTTCTAGGGCTGCCCCCTAATAGTCGACTAACCTTTAGTCAATGAGAAGAAGCTTGGTCAACCAAAATTGTATTAGTCGCTTAGTCACAAAAAAAAAAAAAATCCACAGGAGGTGT